GGAAGGCAGGTGGGACTATGTCGGAGCCCAGGGGCTCACAGAGATCTCCCTGGAGGGGAGATCCGACTTTGAGGAGGCCCTTGAGGCGGTGAGGAGGCAGGAGGAGGGAGGTGCCGATCCCGAATCTCCTCAACAATCCTCGGGACCTCCCTCTGAGCCCTTGGTGCCCGAGCTGCTGGCGATGGCAGAGGATGCCCGCCAGGCCCCTGCTTTCATCGGAGGGCATGTGTTGCTGCAGTTCGTGGTTGAAGATAACCAGCCTCCCATCCTTTTTTGTTCGACCTGCGGGGGGTATGCCACGGGGCTTGGGTGCGAGAGCTGGTGGGGGGGGGGTCTCGGTGTCCTAGAAGGCCCAGGTGGGAGCTGGAAGGGTGGCCAGAGCCACTTCGGACCATCCTGCACGTGCAGGTTTGTGCCTGGCTGATGTCCTACAAGCGTTCGGACCTAAAGAGTTCGAAGCCGCTGAGTTGGGACTGAGGCGACGTGAACGAGGCCCAGACAATGATCTGGAGTACGAAGAACAGGGCGGTTAGATACCCAGGGGGGGCCCTGTCGCTGGCCCCTGGCAGGTCTTTGGCCTTCCTGCCAGGGTGACAAAAAGTTCCCCTCTGATGGGCCCCCCTGGGTTTTTTGGACCGTCGGGTTTCCCCCCCCCCCCCCCTTTTCCCCTCAGTGGCGTGCGATCCTCCTCCTCTCCTCTCCCTCCTCGCCCCCCTCCTCCTCCTCCTCCTCCACCTCCTCCTCCTCCTCCTCCTCCTCCTCCTCCTCCATCTCCTTGTCCTCCTCCTCCATTTCCTCCTCCTCCGCTCCCTCATCGTCCCTCTCCCGCCTGGCGAGGTTGCGATTTATCCATCACCACCGCCCAGGGGCGGTGTATCTTCGAGGACATCGGCAAGCGGTAGATAAAATTATGTTCGGCACCCCCTGCATGCAGCGTCTGCCAAGGTCCCGGAAGATCGGTGCCCCAGGTGGTGGTGATGGATAAATCCCCGCCTCGGATCCCTCCCCGCTCTCCTTCTGAAGCCTGAAGCCTGAAGGCTTGTCCGTCAGCAGACCCTCCAGCTCCTCCTGCTGCTCTTTCTCCTGCTCTTCCTCCTCCCCCTCCGTCCAGCCCGCCCTCCCTCCCTTCCCCGCCCTCCCTCCGCACTCGCTTCCTCCTCCTCCTCCCTGCCCTCGTAGTCGCCCCCCGACCCCTCCGCCCTTCCGCTCCCTTCCACCACTCATCAAGGAGAACACCGCTCTCCTCTCTCCCCTGCTCACGCCCAGTCCTATAGCCGCATCTCCCATATGTCACACTCACTGAACTTCACATCTTGATGTTTCATTTTTTGGACGCCCGAAATGGGTACGGAAAAAATGGGTACAATGCCCAACAAAAAATGCTGTCGCAAACCAACAGCGGCCGCTGTTGGGCAGGCGGCCTTCTGTCTCGAATGGACACAGGCCGCGGCGGCGTGGACAGCGAACCCTGTACAGAATGAACAGGAACTGCTGTTGGGCATTGCACCCATTCTTTCGGTACCCACTTCTGGCGTCCAGACATTTGCGTTTCTGTCGCGCAACGTTTCCGGCCCTTCAAAATTCGTGCCCTCGCTGCAGCGTTGGCCACCTCTTGTAGGATCGGCGCGCTGCTCCTGCCGTTCAGCATGGCGCTCTCGCCCCGGCGCGGGCCACGCCTCTCACTTCGTCCGATGCGCTCCGCGTCATGGCTGCCCCCCGTGTCCTCCCCTCCTCCACCCTGCGCGGCTCCTCCTGCTCCTCCTGCTCCTTTTGCTCTTCCTGCTTCTCCTCCTCGCTCCTGATCCTGATCCTGATCCTGATCCCCCTCCTCCTCCTCCTCATCCTCGTCCTCCTCTTCCCACGCCTTCCGATCCTGCGCCTCCTGCTGCTGCTCCTGCGCCTACGCAAGAGAGCCCTCCTTCCCGATTGCTCACCAGCCGATGGGTCGAGTCCCGCAGCTCCCGTTCGGGCATCGAAGTCCCCCAGGACTCCCCCAATCCCTCCCCTGCCCCTACCCCCCCTTGCATGGGAGCGCGGCCTCCACTTTCTCCTCCACCTCCACCGCCTCCCGCTCCGCCCTCCATGTCCCGCCCCCTCCACCCTTCTTGGTGATCTCTTCACCCACCCGCCCACCCCCTCCCTGTCCGCCTCCACTTCGCTCATTCACTCACTCAGGGCGGTATAGATCGTCGTCGTGCAGACACCCGTCCTGCCCCTCCACCTCGGCTGTGGGCCAGAGGTGGCGGGGGGGCTTATTCGGGAAAGCCTCCACCTCCTCCTCCTCCTCCTCCTCCTCCTCCTCCTGATTACTGTTTCCTCCTCCTCCTCCTGATTACTGTTTCCTGATGGCGTTAGCAGTCTCCGTCGCTCCACCTCCTACCCCTTCTGCTCCCGCTCCTGCTCCTGATCCTCCTCCTCCTCCTCCTCGCTCCTCGACCCCACCCTCACAACCCTCACTTCTCCTCATCCTCGCTCCTCAACCTACTCAACCTCCTCCTCCTCCTCCTCCTCATCATCATCGATCTCCTCATTACCCTCGCTCTCCCCCTCCTTATTCGTCTTCCTGTTATTCTCGTCCTCCTCCTCCTCCTCCTCCTCCTCCTCGTCCTCCTCCCGAATCCCTCGCCCCGTCCACATCGTCCCCCTCGCACTTCCCCACGTCCTCCTGGCCAAGGGCGGCGTCGACGGCGAAGCTGGAGAATTGAAGGGGGTGTACCTGTCGATGTGGAGGAGCACAGGGAAGAGGCGCGACAGCGAGAACAAGAGGACAGCAAGGCAATTCTACACAATCAGAAGTCTTTCGGGGAGACGTAAGACTCGGGTACAGGGGACTCGGGTTGGCCTGACAGGGCCATCATAAAAATGACGAGACCCAATCAGAAATTTGACGCGAACTCCCGCTGCAAACATCCCACGAAAACTGGACCGTCAAAATCCAGGACGCGCTCGTCAAAACACGTCGGCAAACCCGAGTTCCGGCTTACCCGAGTCTTACGCTTCCCCGAACCTTCGGAAGCCCGCGCAGATGTCTTGGGTTGGCCCGGGATCGCTCCGGCAGCACCTCTGGCGCCAGGGAGGGGGGTCCAACGCCGATCCAGGAGATCCGCGCGGACCTCCGAAAACTTATGGATAATGATATATGTATATATATATATGTGTGTACATAGATATATCGTTGTTACAATGGGGGTTCGGCCACAAGAAACCTCTGCAAGAAACCCAACCCTGAAATCTGCGATTTGTTCAGTGAGAATCCAACGTGGTCGATCGAAAATCGTCAAGATCTTATTGGGGGCCCATCGAAATCCAAGAAACCCAGGGCACCCTGGCAAAATCCAACTGGTATCTTGGCACGCGCCCCCACTGTATGCTTCGGGGCGAGGACAAAGAGAAGGTGCCGCAGCAGCAAGAGGAGCAGCATGACCAACACGGGCAGCACGAGGAGCAGGGGGACGAGAGGGGGAAGAGGACGCGAAGGGGGGGAGGGATGAAGGCTGGGGAAGAGGACCTTCCCCGGGGGTCCATATGTCACTCTGGGTTGTGTGTTGATGGCCCTCGAACCCGAGAGCGGCGCCTGGCGAACCGAGGATTGAGATCTCGGTCCGTTGGAGGTCTGGGCACGACCCGTGGGAACACAGCACGGTACCGATGCCGCCACTCCCTGGACCCGTCCCCGGGCGCGGTTTGACCCGAATGCCGAGTGGGAATCTGGCCGCGGCCACGGCAGCAAGAGAAAACTACGCATACCAGCATCGGTGACGGTTCTGCTCCGAGGGGAGGGGGCTGGCGAGATCCGTCGGCTTCGAACTTGGGAGATCGGAGCGCATCGGACTACCTACCAGACCACACCCGAAGACCCGAATGTGACCCGAACTTTGGGTTGGGGGGGAGTACGGGTTCCATGTGTTTTTGCAATGTTCCACCCCCCCCCCACTGGAAATGGAGGACAGAGTGAAGCCTTCGGAGTGGGCTGGGGTGGTTTGGTGTGTGGTGAGGATCGGAGTGTGCGTCGGACGGGGCTGCATCGGCATCACGGGAGAGGCGGGGCGGTAGGGGAAGCGGACGGCAGGGAGAGGCGGAGGGGAGGGGGTCGAGGCTCGGGGACCTCGGGCCGCCCGCGGGGACTCCTTCGGGCCTCCGGGGGCGCCGTCGTCGCCAGAGCAGGCTCTGCCTCGGAATCCGCGTTCCTGGATGGGTTTAGGGGGGGAGTCTTCGAGAGGGGGGAGGGGGGATAGGGAGGCACTCAGGGAGGAGGGGTTGCGAGAGCTGCGAATCCTGCACAGGGAGGGAGGAGGGAGGACGGACTGAGGGGACGGGGGGGATGAAGAGGAGGAGGGAGGGATGGGGGACTAGGGAGGAAAAGTGAATGAGGGCAGGGAGCAGGAATGGAGGGAAGGACAGATGAGGTGAAGAGCGAAAGAGAGGAGGAGGAGGAGGAGGAGGAGGAGGAGGAGGAGGAGGAGGAGGAGGAGGAGGAGGAGGAGGAGGATACTTAATGGAGGAGCAGGAGGAGGACAATGAGGATCAGCGTTGAGAAACATCTTGCCGCAATGCAGGCATCAAACCGCACTCCCCCCACATGGGTACATAAAGACTATAACATCGTACCTCAAGAGTAGAGCGTCGGAAACTGAGCAACAAACATGTGGCTGAGATATGTCCGAAAATGAGCAGGGTGCGTGAGAGATGTTCACATGTTGAGTAAGAATCGCCCTTCATCAGTGTAAACTTTTAAGGCGAGTGTGAGGCTGGGACGAAAACAAACGCCCAAGTCAATAGATTCGTCCTACGGGAGGCCGAGGAGGAGGAGGAGGAGGAGGAGGAGAAAGGAGGAGGGGGAGGAGGAGGAGGAGGAGGAGGAGGAGGAGAGGAGGAGGAGGAGGCGGAGGAGGAGGAGGGAGGAGGGAGAGGGTGAGGCCGAGGAGAGGAGGAGGAGGAGGAGGAGGAGGAGAGGAGGCCGAGGAGGAGGAGGAGGAGGAGGAGGAGGAGGCGGCGGGCGCTCGTTGTTGTGGATGCCCTGCGCGCTGATCCGCAGGTCGGTGGCCCCGCCGTCCAGCGCCTGGCGGCTCGGCCGCGGCCGCCGCCCCACCGCGGGGGCCCCTCGCCGCTGCCGCCCGGGGCCACGTGCCGAAGCCTGCGGGCCTGCTCTGAAGGGGCCCTGGGACACACAAATAAATACACACAAGTAAAAGGATTTCCCATATTTTCCCATATGTTCTGGGTTTCTGTGTTCCCCCCCACTGCCCATATTTTCCTATATTTTCCTGGGAGTGGACGACTGTGTTTTTTTCCCCTCCTGATGCTCGCCAGCGAGCCAAGCCACGCGCGCGCGCCTGCTCTCCGCAAGGCGGGGAGGGAGGGATCCGTATCGTCGTCCTCGTCGCCCTGCCCCTCGCTGTCGCTCCGCCTCCTCCTCCGCCTCCCTCCTCCGCCTTCCTCCTCCTCCTCCTCCTCCTCCTCCTCCTCCTCCTCCTCCTCCTCCTCCTCCTCCTCCTCCTCCTCCTCCTCCTCCTCCTCCCCGCCTCCTCAGCCCTCCTCTTCTTCACCTGGTCCTCCTTTTTGCAGGAGGGCCAGTTGAGACAACGTCGGCTCCCCCGCCCTGCCAAGCTCTGCTCAAAAGCAATTCCCCTTCAAAAACAGTCAGTCCCCGGACCTGTTCCTCGATGCGGAGCAAGCCGTGGCAAGGAGGAGCCTCCAGGAGGCCCAAAGAGGACGAAACAACCAGGGAAGGCCGCCGTTGCCCCAACTGGCCCTCCTCCGCCTCCTCCTCCTCCTCCTCCTCCTTCCTCCTCCCTTCCTCCTCCTCCTCCTCCCCAACTGGCCCTCCTCCTCCTCCTCCTCCGCCTCCTCCTCCTTCTCCTCCCCAAACGCCGGCGACGACGGCGACGGAGGCGCCGACGCCGACGCCGCCGCCGTCGTCGTCCTCCCCACCGCTCCTCATCATCAGCCCTCTTCTCGTCCTTGTGCTCGCTGTCCTGCCTCCTCCTCCTCCTCCTCCTCCTCTTCCTTCTCCTGGCGAGGCCAGGTAGCTCGCACTTCCCCCCGCCCCCAGACACCCACTGTACATCAGCGCGAATGCCAACAGAAGGTAGCCCAGATCCAGCAAGCTCCTCCTCTCCTCCTCCTCCTCCTCCTCCTTCTCCGCCTCCTCCTCCTCCTCTCTCCTCCTCCTCCTCCCTCCCTCCCTCCTCCTCCTCCTCCTCCTCCTCCTGCTCCTCCTCCTCCTGCTCCTCCTGCTCCTCCTGCGCCTGCTCCTGCCCTCCTGCTCCTCCTGCTCCTCCTGCTCCTCCTGCTCCTCCTGCTCCTCCTGCTCCTCCTGCTCCTCCTGCTCCTCCTGCTCCTCCTGCTCCTCCTGCTCCTCCTGCTCCTCCTGCTCCTCCTCCCCTCCCCCCCGTCCGACGCCCACGGCGACGGCGGCGACAGCCGCCGCTGCCGCCCCACTGCCCCCGTGGACGGCGAACTCCTCGGGGGCGGGCGCCGCCTTGCTGTAGACGATCTCCGGCGTGCCCGCGTCGGCGTCGGGGCCTCGCGGCAAGGCCGCTGGGGGTGCCCCTCCTCCACGTCCTCCTGTTCCTGCTCCTCCTCCACATCCTCCTGCCCGCCCTTCGTCGTTCCTCCTCCTCATCCTCCTCCTTCTCCTCCTCCTCCTCCTCCTCCTCCTCCAAATCCACCTTCCTCCTCCACCTCCTCCCCCTCCTGCTCTTCCACATTCCTTCCTCCCCTCCTTCCTTCTTGCCGTCAGTCCTTCCTTTCTTCCTTCCTTAGTGCCTTCTTTCCGTCCATCATCTTCCTCCTTACCCCTTCTCCCACGTCCCTCCCTTTTCCGCCATCCCGCTTGACCCCTTCCTTCCTCCCTCCTCCCTGTCCCTCCTCATCCCTCCTCCTCCCTCCCCTCCCTCCTTTTGCGTGCTGCCTCCCTCCTCCCTGCTTCTCCCTCCTCCTCCTCCTCCTCCTCCCTCTCCCTCCTCCTCCCTCCTCTCACTCCACTCCTCTCGCTCCTCCTCCTCCTCCTCCTCCTCCTCCTCCTCCTCCTCCTCCTCCTCCTCCTCCTCCTCCTCCTCCTCCTCTCCTCCCCTCCTCCCTCCTCCTACTCCTCCTCTTCCTCTCCTCCTCCTCTTCCTCCTCCTCTCCCCCTCCTCCTCCTCCTCCTCCTCCTTCCTTCTTTTCCTTCCTCCTCCTCCTCCTCCTCCTCCTCCTCCTCCTCCTCCTCTTTCTCGCGTTGCGCCGACGTCGATCAGGGACCGCCGCGTCTGCCCCCAGCTCCTGCGTTTCCCCCTCTACTTCTCCCTCCCCTTGCCGCTGCTCGGTGCTCCGCTCCCCCTTGAGGAGGAGGAGGAGGAGGAGGAGGAGGAGGAGGAGGAGGAGGAGGAGGAGGAGACGCGAAGGTAGAGGACGTGGAGGGAGAGGAGGAGGAGGAGGATGACGAGGAGGAGGAGGAGGATGAGGAGGAGGAGGAGGAGGAGGAGGAGGCCAGAGGGCCTGGGGCGGAGGCCGCCAGGCCGCCCTCGGGGCCGCAGGAGGCTGGCACTCAGGGGCGGCGAGGCGTGCCGCGCCGTGGGGTCGGAGCGGCGGCGGTGAGCGTCGCTTGACCGCTGCTGGGACAGCAGCGCACAGAAGCTTTCGGTCATCCCGGCGGCGCCCACGAGCGCGCCATGCTGGCGCTCTTCGGAGCCGCTGGGCGCTGCTGGGCGCCATCCGAATGCTATTGGGCACTCGTGGGCGCTGGTGGACGCGAAACGCGCTATCTGGCGCGCTGGCCGGAATACGTGCCCGCAAGACGGGCGGAAGCTTCTGTGACGTGCTATCTGGCGTCCCCTATCTGCGCTGGCGTGGCCTCGGCCCCTTGGTGGCGGACTTACCCTCCCAGATGGGGATACAAGCTGTTCCATTCGGGCTTCGCGGGGCCTATCCCGGCGGGTGGCCTGGTGGGGCCGAGATACCATGGCAGGATCGAGGATGGTGATCGGTTCGACGGAACAGGACGAGGCGAGGAGGAGGAGGAGGAGGAGGAGGAAAAGGAGGAGGAGGAGGAAAATGAGAGGAGGAGAGAGGAAGAGAGGAGGAGGAGGATGAGGAGGAGTAGAGGAGGAGGAGGAGGAGGAGAAGAAGGGAGGAGAGGAGGAGGAGGGGGAAGGAGGAGGAGAGGGAGGAGGAGGAGAGGAGGAAAGGAGGAGGAGTAGGAGGAGGAGGAGGAGGAGGAGGAGGAGAGAGGAGGAGGAGAGGAGGAGGAGGAGGAGGAGGAGGAGGAGGAGGAGAGGGAGGAGGAGAGAGGAGGAGGGGGAGGGAGGAGGGAAGGAGGAGAGGGGGAAGGAGGAGGAGGAGGAGGAGGAGGAGGAGAGGAGGAGGAGGAGGAATTAGAAGGAGGAGGGGAAGGCGAGGACGAGGCGAGGAGCAGGCGAGGACGAGGCGAGGAAGATGCGAGGGCGAGGCGGCGCCCACAGCGGTCTCGCGGCCTGCGCCGCCGAGGTTGCTGTAGGCCAGGCTAGACAGGTCGAGCAGCGGGTGCGCCTGGGCCGCAGGGGGGTGGGGCTCTCCAACTCTTCCTCCTCCTCCTTGCTTCGACTCTCCCTCCACGTCCCTCCACATTCTCTCCTCCTCCTCCTCCTACTCCTCCCCTCCTCCTCCTCCCCTCTCCTTCTCTCCTCCTCCTCCTCCTCCCTCCTTCTCCTCCTCCTCTCCCCTCCTCCTACTCCTCCTCCCTCCTCCCTCCTCCTCTCCTCCTTCTCCCGCCTCCCTCCTCCTCCTCCTCCTCATCCCCTCCTCCTCCTCCTCCTCTCTCCTCCCCTCCTCCTCCTCCTCCTCCTCCTCCTCCTCTCTCCTCCTCCTCCTCCTCCTCCTCCTCTCCTCCTCTCCTCCTCCTCCTCCTCACCCTCCCCCTCCCCTCCCTCCCTCCTTTGCCCTCGTCATCCTCATCCTCATCTCATCCACATCCTCGTTCCTCGTCCACCTCCACCTGATTTTGATCGAAGTTCGCTGCCTAGGCTATCCCCCCCGCCGCCCCCTCCTCCCCCGTCCCTTCCTCCTGAGGCCTCCTAGAATGGGGATCCGAGTAGATGGTCGAAGGATCGCGCCGCATCGCAATACATTGCCGATGCACGACGCATGCATCGGCGATGGCATCGGCGACCGTCGGCGAGGTATCGGCGCATAAGCGTCGGCGACATAGCGTCGGGAGACACGGCTCCACATCGAGCTGCATCGCCGTGCATCATGCATCTCGATGCGGCGCGATCCGGCCCTGCCCCATCTACTCCGACTCTATCTAGGAGGCCTAGACCTACTCCGTCTGCTCCCCCTCCCCCGTCCCCTCCCTCCCTCCCTCCCTCGTCGACCCCACTCAGGTACACGCAGGAGTGGACCTGGCTCAGAGTGACCTTTGGGGCGCGGCTTCTGGGGGGCCGCTGGGGGACCTAAGACGAGCCGGCAAGACGCTACTGTCGCATCGCGTCGGGCGATCCGGGGACCGCCATGGGCCCGCCCCAAAGGTCACTCCGGCGAAGGGTCACTCTTGCGTGCAATCGACCCACCCCCCTCCTCCGCGTGAGCGGCGAAAAGGCACGGGTCTTCCTCGAGATGGCAGAGCGACCTTGCGCGGTGGCTTGCACGGGCCGTCAACGCGGCACGCCACGTTGGAGACGAGGGCGCGTACGCGCGACCCTACGCGAGAAGCTTACGAGCCAATGCTGGTGAAAATGACCCCGTTTTCTTCCGTCGCTCCGTCTGTTCCGTCCTCGTCCATCACTGGTTTTTGTACACGTCAGGTTCGTGTCGTGCCGACTTCGGCGTTGGTTTCTGTCACCGTTGAACGATCGGCCGTTTCTGAAACGTCCCAATCGTTCCACATCGAACAATTCTGGGTCGCCCACGGCATTCAACCATGAACGCCGCTGGCGGGGTCGCCGCCGGTCGACACGACACGAACCTACCATATGGTTCCCGTGCCGACCTTCATGGTCTGATCGGGCCCGTCTGTCTCTTCTCTCGTCTCTTGCTCTTCGGCTTCGTGATTCCGGTGCAGCCGGCCCGTCGTTTTGACCGGCGCCTGACCGTCTCGCACACCCTGGCGCCCGTGGACTTGCAACAAGTTCTTTACGGCAAACATCACCACGAGCAGCTGCCACCTCCCTGGTGAATCGCCGCGGGTGCGATGGCCAAGCGCAGCCGCCAGGGCGCGTCTCCCTTCCCCCTGGCGGCCTGGGGCATCGAGGCTCGACTGGGGGGCTTTGGCGGACCACCCCACCGATCCCGGCGGGGCTCATCCCAAGCCCAAAATCGGCCCAGCGCCGAGATCGGTGCAATTCGCAAGAATGCACGGTGCAATCTGCACGGTTCAATTTGCACGGTGTTCCGTGAGATTGTGTTGTCATCCGCCGCCCAGCGTTAGTCTGTGTTCAGTGTCTGTGTACTGGCGCGCTGCCAGTCTCGCAACTGCACGTTTGTCTTGGCCTTCATTTCAAGTGGTCTCTTGCCGATGCGCCGCCTAGGCACGGCTTCTTGTATCCGTGCACCCTCCGAGCCTGGAGCAAGGGTGAGGGGCAACGATAGGGGGGGACTGGCCTAGGGGGTGATGCATCGACCTGGAATCGGCGATACATTGCCGATAGATCGGCGATAGGCCCCCGATATTGAATCTGCACCTTCCCGTGCAGGTTGGGATTATCGGGCCCCTATCGGCGATCAATGGGCAATTGGGGGTCGATGCATCCCCCCCCTATGCCTATCCCCCCATATCGTTGCCCCCCAAAGGGGGGAGTGGAGAGGAGAATCGTTTGATGTTCTTCGAATTGATACTGATGATGCTGATGATAATGATAATGATGAGGAGGAGGATGAGAATGAGAATGAGGATGAGGATGAGGATGATGATGATGATGATGGTGATAATGATAATGATAATGATAATGATAATGATAATGATAATGATAATGATGATGATGATGATGATGATGATGATGATGATGATGATGATGATGATGATGATGATGATGATGATGATGATGATGATGATGATGAGTTGAATTGTTCGAAGAGGAGACTCGAGAGGAGAGTGGAGAGGAGAATCGATGTTCGAAGATCAATATTCTTCGAGACTCGTCGCTGGCTCCTCGCCGCCGCGGCTGGGGTGCGCCCTGGCATCCTGGGCGGAACGAGCCGATGGGCAGGTCCAGGGGACCGACTTGATGGGGGAGGCAGAGGAAGGAGGGTCAGAAGAGAAGGAGACGGAGGGAGGAGGCAGAGGAGGAGGAGGAGGAGGAGGAGGAGGAGGAGGAGGAGGGGGCGGGAGGAGGAGCAGGAGGGGATTACGATGCAACGCGTCCAACGAAGGAGATGGGGGGCGGTGAAAGGGGCAGGGAGGGGCAGGGTGAAGAAGACGAAGGGATAATCCAATACACATGTATCCTTGTTCGCGTGTGTGTGTGTGAGAGAGAGAGAGAGAGAGACTGTGTGCTTGTCTGTGTGTGTGTGTGTTTGACTGTGCGTGTTTGCTTGTGCGTGTGGGTGTGTATGCGTGTGTGCGCGCGTGCGTGCGTGCGTGCGTGCGTGCGTGCGTGCGTGCGTGCGTGCGCGCGCGCGCGTGTGTGTGTGTGTGTGTTTTTGCGCGTGCGTGTGTGCGTGTGTGCGTGCGTGCGTGCGTGCGTGCGTGCGTGCGCGCGCGTGCGCGTGCGTGCGTGTGGCTCTGTCTCCCCAATTAGAGCTTTGCGTGGCCCGCCTAGCTTTTAACCGGAAGAGGCTCGCTCTCGGCCCGCAGACCAAAAAAGTGTGTCTGTGTGTGTGGTGTGTGTGTGTGTGCGTGTGCGAGTGCGTGCGCGTGAGCGTGCCCGTGCCCGTGCCCGTGCGCGTGCGCGTGCGCGTGCGCGTGCGTAGCGCGTGCGCGTGCGCGTGCGTGTGCGCGTGCGTGTGCGTGTGCGTGTACGTGAGCGTGCGCGCGTGCGCGTGCGCGCGCCTGTGTTGTGTGTGTGTGTGGCGTGTGTGTGCGTGTGCGTGCGCGCGCGCGTGTGTGTGTGCGTGTGCGTGTGTGTGTGTGTGTGTGCGTGCGTGCGTGCGTGCGTGTGTGTGTGTTGTTTGTGTGTGTGGTGTGTGTGTGACGTGTGGCGTGTGCGGTGTCGTGTGCGTGTGCGTGTGCGTGTTGCTTGTGCGTGGCGTGTGCGTGTGCGTGTTTCGTGTTCGTGTGCGTGTGAGTGGCGTGCGCGCGTGTGGGTGTGTGTGTTGCGTGTGGATGTTGGCGTTTGCGTGTGCGTGTGCGTTGTTGCGTGTGTGTGTGTGTGTGCGTGTTGTGTGTGTGGTGGTGTTGTGTGTGGCGCGCTCGTTTGTGGCATGGCCTGTGGCGTGTTCGTGTGCGGGGCGTGTGCGTGTGCGCGCGCGCTGGCGCGTGCGCGTGCGCGTGCGCGCGCGCGTGCACGTGCGCGTGCCCGTGCGCGTGCGTGTGCGTGTGCGCTCCCGTGTGCGCGTGTGCGAATGTGCGAGTGTGCGAGTGTGCGAGTGTGTGTGTGTGGGTGCGTGTTTTCCAAAGCCTCCGAGCTTCCCGGATGCCTCCCGAACTTCTGGAGAACTCCGCAGGCCTGCAGGAGGGAAGAGGAGGGACGTCCAAGGGGTAGGGGGGGGACCGGGAAGCACGAGGTGGGAAGGGGAGGGGAGGGGAGGGGAAGGGGGAGGGGGAGGGGGAGGGGGAAGGGAAGAGCAAAAGGTGGGAACGGGAGGGGAAGGGCCTCCTCTCCCTTCCCCCCCCCGCTCCTTCCGACAGGTCCGCCCCCCTCCGTCCCCGGCGGATTCCCACGCGCGTGCTGATGCAGTCGGCACCGTGGCTGCTGCGCATGAGGCGCCGAGAGGGGGGCCCGACGCCGATACGAGAAACCCGTGCTGATCTACGAGAACATATTGGGCGCCCGAGTTCGGCTACACGCAGGAGTGACCCTGGGTAAGAGTGACCTTTGGTGCGCGACTTTTGGGGGGCCGCGGGGGGGCCAAACCTTGGCGCCCAAGCAGCTGCTACTGCCTCGTTTTTAGCCGTCTGGGGACCCGTCTGTGCCCGCAGCAAAGGTCACTCCGGCGAAAGGTCACTCTTACGTCTAGTCGACGAGTTATCCGGGGTAACTCGGGCCCGGGGTAACTCGGGTTCGGAATCCCGAAAAGCGAACCCGAGTTAGCCCTGACCCGAGTTACCCCTGATGATTCGGGGCTCTGGACGCCCGAGTTATCCGGGGTAACTCGGGCCCGGGGTAACTCGGGCGAGCCCGAGTTAGCCCTGACCCGAGTTACCCCTGATGATTCGGGGCTCTGGGCGCCCGAGTTATCCGGGGTTACTCGGGCCCGGGGTAACTCGGGTTCGGAATCCCGAAAACCGAACCCGAGTTTAGCCCTGACCCGAGTTTACCCTGATGATTCGGGGCTCTTGGACGCCAAAGTTAACTCCGGGGTACTCCTCGGAGCCCGGGGTAACTCGGGTTCGGACTCCACCGAAAGCGAACCCGAGTTAGCCTGACCGAGTCCCCCTGATGATTCGGCTCTGGCGCCCCGAATTAAGCCCGGGGGTACTCGTGGCCCGGGGTACTCGGGTTCGAATCCCGAAAAGCGGAACCAACCCGAGTTAGCCCTGACCCGAGTTACCCCTATGATTCGGGGCTACTGGACGCCCGAGTTATGCGGGGTATACTTCGGGCCCGGGTGACTCGGGTGCGGATTCCCGAAAAGCGAACCCGAGTTAGCCCTGACCCGAGTTACCCCTGATGATTCGGGGCTCTGGGCGTCCGAATTGTCTGGGGTAGCTCGGGCCCGGGGCGACTCGGGTTCGGACTCCCGGAAAACGAACCCGAGTTAGCCCTGACCCGAGTTACCCCTGATGATTCGGGGCTCTGGACGCCCGAATTATCCGGGGTAACTCGGGCCCGGGGTAACTCGGGTTCGGAGTCCCGGAAAACGAACCCGAGTTAGCCCTGACCCGAGTTACCCCTGATGATTTGGGGCTCTGGACGCCCGAGTTATCCGGGGTAACTCGGGCCCGGGGTAACTCGGGTTCGGAATCCCGAAAATCGAACCCGAGTTAGCCCTGACCCGAGTTACCCCTGATGATTCGGGGCTCTGGACGCCCGAGTTATCCGGGGTAACGCGGGCCCGGGGTAACTCGGGTTCGGAATCCCGAAAAGCGAACCCGAGTTCGCCCTGACCCGAGTTACCCCTGATGATTCGGGGCTCTGAACATATGTTCATACCGTTGTTTGTTCTTCGATTCTCTCCTCCCCTCCCAGCCAATTTCTCCCTCCACTCCAGCGCCCCATGCGGCGGCAAGCAAACGAAGGAGCGAACGGGCGGTCTAAGAGGATACCCCCCCGGGCACGCCCTGAAGCCGCGAACGAGGCTGTTCGAGACTACCCTCGAGGCTCCAAGATGGCTCCGCAGGAGCCCCTACTCTCATCGTGCTAATGCGACCGAGGGACGAGACACAGATCGGGCAAGGACGATTACCACCCAAGTATGTCTCGTCCGGGTCGCTGGCTGCGGACAAGTGGCCACGACGGCGACGGTGGCCACGACGGCGACGGTGGCCACCAGGAATATCCTTTCAATCGTCCACTTCCCAATGGAGCGCTGCGACCCCAGGGCATCTCCAAACCGCTTGGTCGCACACCACATGGACCGCTGAAGACGGAACACAAGGGCTATTGCTGGCCACGGCGAGCCTCGGCCGCGAACAGGTCCCCCGACCTGGATTTGAGGAACAAGCTCCAAAGCCTGAGCCCCCCGCGGATCCCGAAGCAGTCCTTACTTCAGCATCTTGACCGTGGCGGCGCGCTCACACCCCGAAGATGGCCCCGAGCCCTCCAGAAGGCCCCAGGCATCCCACGGGAGGCTCCCGAGATGGCGTCGGAATGCTGACCTTCAAGCTCCCAGAGGCCCCGAGGAGGCCCACCAAGAGGTATATATGAACGCGGGGCGTCTAGAGATATATGCGGCCGACAGTACTTGATGGACATACGTACATGGATTATCTCTACCTCGGGGAGTCTAGTATGCCCGCATACCGTACACATGCATCACACTCTTGTCGTCTGGCAGCGGTCGTGGGCCGGCTTCGGGCTCTCTAGAGCCGTCTTGGACTCCACCAGAGGCCCTCTGGAGCCGTCTTGAGGCCCTTTGAGGCCCGATTGACTTATTTCCGGCGATACTTGCGGCTCTCGGAGCCCTCCAATACCCCCTTGAAACCAGTTTGGACCGAGATGGCGACCTGAAGCCCCCCTTTGTAGTACCCGTCCCACTGCTGTCGGCGGCGAGCCCAGGGGGGGAAAGAGACGGGATGCCCCCTCGCACTCCCCCCCTGGGCTCGCCGCTAATCCTACCTCTTGGGGCCGGGTGGAGGCCACCGGGAGGCCACCTGGATCGTCGCGAGAGCCGCGTCTGCGGGCTGTCTCGGAACGGCCCCGGAGGCGCTCTGGGGGCATGTCGGGGGCGCGCCCTTGAGATTCTGGGGGGCAAGCAGCCCCATGGGGCAATGCCCCCCCCAATCCCCCACATTTGGGCTGGGACCCCCTCTACGCAGGCAGGTGTATAGATTACGTGTGTATGCGAGCATGTGTGTAGATGTACATGAATAGACATGTACGTATAGAAAGTTACCCATCGATTTATGTTTGTATGCGCATAGATACATCTATATAGCTGTGTTGTGCATCGACGTGTGTACACGCATGCACGTGTCTGAGCAGAAGCAGATGCTGCGTACGCGTGGAATCGAGATACAAGCGGCGATGCACTGCGGAGTACGAGCCGCGGGCACGCTCTACACATGCACCACATAGATGCGGAGGATACATGCGCGTCCGTATTCATGACACAGCGCGCTGCTACTGCTTTGCACACGCACTGTTACGCCGTTGCATGTTCTGTGCGGGCAATCGTTTTCTGCCTCCGAAGTGCAGATCCACCACTTGGCAGGCTCTCCCCCGACGTCGCCCTCCCTCACGCACTCGAGGTCTGGGTGGGCCCCACTGCACTTGCAATAGTTCTGATGGCCGTACGGAACGTCCATCTCATACACCTTGTCCTCTGGCAGCCACATGCCGACCGCGATGGTGCGGACCGCGTGGTCGCCCCATCGATGAAGCCAGAAGCCTCCGACGGAGTCCAGGTAACGGAAATAGTCCTGGTAGGGCTCCGACCGGAACCAGTCCAGCTGCACAATCTCGATATCGTTCATGTAAAGCTGGTAGTTCCACTGGAGATCGTCTTCGCGCACGAACTGCTCGAGTATGGGCGTGCCTCGCGGGTTGATCCCCTTCATGCGCATGTACAGCAGCGTGTAATCCCAGAAGTGCTTCACTGCGCTGGGCAGGTCTGGCAGCAGGTGCGAGAAAGTGTACACGTAGCCACCTTCGTGCATAGCCGCAATCGGGTCCGAAACGACCTCCGCTGGAAAGTAGCCGTCCGTGTCCAGAGTCATGGCGTACTGGAAATTCCGCAGCGCAGGCTGCAAAAAGATAGTGCCGCTGCGGAATCTGCACATGCCACGGTAGCCCAGCGACCACTTGACCTCATCCAGCCGAGCGCGACGAACAGGGTCCTCGGTGATCATCTCGGGGACCGACAAGTAATCATCCACGTAGGCGAACCACACCCGATTCTCCGAAGCCCGCACTATTTGCCTCCTGTGCTCCTCAGACAATCCGTCGTGGAAGATCACGACTGGGTAGTCGAAGCGACCGTTGAAGCGCTCCCACAAGCGCGGCAACGAGTGCCGGATGTCCTGAACATCGTCTTCGTCGTCCGACGTCAAGTAATGCAGCACCCCGGAGAAGTTCCGCGACGCGTCCCGTGGGCCCGAGTCCAGCTGCTCGCACAGCGGGCCGCGGTAGGGCGGGAAGCACTCGCAGAAGCCGCGAACGCAGCGGCCGCGGCTACCTCGGCTAGGCGTAAGAGTGACCCTGGGTAAGAGTGACCTGTGGTGCGCAGCTTTTGGGGGCGCGAGGGAGCCAAACCCAAGGGCGCGGGCCGCTTGAATCGCATCGCGCTCGGCGATCGGGGGGAGCCCGATGAGCCCGCACCAAGGGTCACTCCGGCGAAAGGTCACTCTTACGTGTAATCGACTACAAATCATGACCGGCGGCATGTGCGCGGCCCAGCGGGGGGGCCAGGGACGTAATGAGATAAGAAGAGGCGCCACGAAATCTGGGGCGACGTCATGGCCCACGCCATGATATCCCCCCCCCCCTAGTCATCACCCCCCTCTTTCAGGGGGACGTAAGACCTGGGTACAGGGGACTCGGAAATCCCCGACGAGGTCGTCAAAAAAATGACGAGGCCGAGCCTGCATTTTGACAAGGCCTCCCGCTGCAGACATCCCACGAAACTCCTCCTCGTCAAAATCCGAGGCGCGGTCGTCAAAAAACGATGGCGAACCCGAGTCCTGGCAAACCCGGGTCTTACGCTCCCCCGACTCTTTTCCGCCCCCGATACCTGCTTCGAGGAAGAAGCGCATGCCGGGCATCTCCTGCGCCTGCTCCACGGCCCACAGCTTGAAGAGCTCGCGCCCCTCTGCCGGCGCGCCGCCGGGGCCGCGGACCTCGGCCCGGGCCGGGCTGCTGTCCGGGGCCGCCTTCGGGGGCGGCATCTCTCGGAGCCTCTCCTCCTCCTCCTCCTCCTCCTCCTCCTCCTCCTCCTCCTCCTCCTCCTCCTCCTCCTCCTCCTCCTCCTCCTCCTCCTCCCGTGCCATCTTGCTGCCTCTCGCGAATCGGCGCTGCCCGGCGCTCATCGACGCCAACTCGAGGCGAACCGACGCTAGACCGACGCCGACTCGGCGCCTCCGCATCGACGACCAGGCACTCGCGCACGACCGCGCACTCTGAACGTGGGCCTGCGAGGACACGCGAGGCCCCCACACCTTGCTGCCCCAGCCACCTGTGCTGGCGCCGAAGCCGCGCGGGCGTCCTCGGGGCCAGAGCTCAGAGCCGCACTGCACTCCGCGTCGCCGGACACCCAGCCCTTCTCGAACTTGACCTCCGCTGGCCTGCCGCCGATCCAGACCCAGCAGAGCTGGCTCCCGTACATCGCCGTGGGGTCGAACGTCCAGTAGCTGCAGTTGGACGCCGCGCAGCGCGCCTGGCAGGCACGGGGGGAGCGCTGGATGGAGTCGAAGACCGCAGCATCGTTGCCCCAGCCCCGGTGGTCGTGGCTGACGCAGGACCCCGTGGCGGCGCCTGGCCCGTCTGCCCCGGCCCAGCCGTCGGAGCCGCGGAAGCCCATGCAGTCGAAGTTCCTCTTCAGCACCGGCACCCGGTGGTCCTCCAGCAGGCCGCAGAGGATGGCCTCCTTCTCCCCGCTGGGCACGTCGGGGTCCGCCAGCTTCACGACGCTGGCCCCGGCGGCCAGCTCCAGCCGCGCGAAGATGATGGGCCTGTTTTCCAGCACGAGGCGCCAGGTGGTCCTCCTCCTCCTCCTCCTCCTCCTCTTCGTCCTCCTCTTCGTCCTCCTCCTCATCCTCCTCGTCCTCTTCCTCCTCCTCTTCGTCGTCGTCCTCCTCCTCCTCCTCGTCCTCCTCCTTCCCCCCTCCAACTTCTTCTGGTGGTGGTGGAGAATAAGCCCATCAGAAGAAGCGGCTGTCCGGCGCGCAGAACCACCCGTCCAGCCAGCAGCTGGCCGGCCTGGGCGCCCCGCGCCCCGGCGCCAGGGCACTCTGCAGGTCCACGCGCACGTACACCGCGAAGCCGCCCTCGAGGTGGTGCAGCGAGTACCTTTCGGTCGGGCCGGTCCCCCTGCAGGCGGAGCTTGGAGGACAAATCATAAAAAGAGCCAACACGTATACTAGACAGTGCCCAGGCACACCCCCCAAACCAATCGCCCCCAGAATCTGTTTTTTTTAACCTGCTTTGGAGTGCCCCTCCTCTTAGAGGGACAGGCCCGACCCAAGAGTGCCTGAAGCGCTTCTTGGCCAGGCGCTCCAGCAGCGCGCCCACCGCCGCCAGCGAGCACTGGGCCAGCCAGAAGGCGGGCGACAGGTAGTCGTCCAGCGCGCCGGGCTCTCCCGCCCCGGCGTCCAGCTCCTCCTCCTCCTCCTCCTGGGCCGCCCGAGATTTGAGCAGGGACCGACCGTCCCGGCATTGCTGTAGGCCTACCACGAGAGTTCTTCGAAGCCAGAGATGCTCGAATAACAAGAGCCATGCTTCCAGAGCGCAGACCCAACGTGTGGAGACAAGACAGACCCAGCCAGAAGTGTTCTATAAACAGTTCGTGTAAAAACACAAAAGGTTCTTAGAACGTTGGTTGGTGACAAAAGGCTCTTAGAACATTGGTTGATGGGCCCATCGGCGACCCAGGACGCTTCGCCACTGCTTGAGAGATGTGTACGGAGAAGCATGGGCACGCTTGTCCAAAACCAACAGCGGCCGCTGTTGGACAGGCGGCCTTCTCTCTCAAACGGGCAATGACCGCGGCGACGCCGACAGCCAGCCCTGTTCAGAATGAACAGGAACTGGGGGAACCAAAAGGTGCCGATACCGCTTCTCCCCGGACCTCTCCCAGGGTGTCTTGTGGCCAGACGTGGCGACGAGGGCCTCCCAGGAGGCCCAACCTGGGGAAAACGAGGGAAGGGCAGCGGTATGGGTACCTCTCCTCCTCCGAAGAACAGCTGTTGGACTTTGTACCGTTTACATTGCGGGCAATACTTCTGTCCATGTCCATTGCGATATGGAGTTTCGGGTTCCCTTCCCCAGAAACCAGAGGCGCGCTGGCCATGGATAAACTTGCCCCCTGGAGGCTCGATCTTTAACCACATCCAGTGCGCCTCGGCCTTGTGGCGCTCCTTCCCCAAAAACCCAAGACGCACTGGATATGGATACGAACCTTGCCCGCATACATACCCATTTCGGTCGTTCCGACCCTCCTCCTGCCCGTGCTGGAACCAGCGGCGCGCCAGAGGCACGGAGCGCAGTGCCGGGCGCAGCGAGTGCCACCACGCCTCGAAGCGCGGCGTCACCTCGAAGGGCGGGGGCACCAGCGGGTTGATCGGGATCACGAGGACCTTCGGCTTGAACGCCGACCCCGAGAAGAGGTACTCCACCTCAGCGGCGCGCAGAGGGGGGTACAGTAGGGGCCCGACCACAAGAAACCTTCCACAAGAAACCCAACCCTGAGACCCCAGGACGTCCATCGATTTTTGGTGTGTGAACGTCACGCTCTCCACAGCGCAGCCATCGAAACCCAAGAAACCCAGGGCACCCTGGAGGCAAGCAGGGTGTTTCTTGGCACGGGCCCCCACTGTAGGGGGAGGGGGGAAGGCTTCTCCGGAGCCCGCTTCTGAAAGGCGCCCGCGTCCTCTAAGAGGCAGCCTCCTTCTAAGGAGCCGTCCCCTCTCCTCCTACCCTAGGGTCGGGGGCATGCCCTCCTACACTACAGGCGGATTTTGGAGGGAAAGTGATAGAGAGTAAAACATCCACAAACATAGCCCGAAAACCGTCCCCTGACTATCTGTTTGGATATGTTTCAGCTCTTCTCCTGTAGAGGGACGTGCCCGACCTCTGGCCATCGCTCGAACGTCAATTTCCTGTGTTTGTTTCGATTTCGTGCGTGGCTTTTTCGCCAAATGATCGAGGATGCTCCTCGATGGCCCCCGCCGAGAAAAAAATGCACACGTCCGAGCGATGCCAAGACTTGACACTGAACCCTACCCCCCCGATGCGCGCGGCCGACCACCGCGTGGCAGTTGTGCACGGCGGGGTGCAGGAAGAACACGTCCGGCGAGGGCTCGCTCCCCTGCTGGAAGATGAAGTTCGGAGGAGGGCTGGCCGAGACAGCGGCGGCTCTCCCGCAAAGCCCGCCTCCGCTCGGAATCGGCCCTCATGAGGCCCTCCGCGGAGTCCACCCTGACCCTCTGCTCGAGGCGGATCCAGCCGCGGAGACGAGAAGCCTCCCAGCAGGGCCAGAGGTGCGAGAACCGCTGCGACGAGGAACGACCAGATGCCAGAGATTCGACGCCACGAGGAACACACTGCCATCGAAACAGACACTCGATCGGAACCCTGGACCCCATCCTTCTGCTGCACTTTCTTCGAGCCCGGCCGATCGGTTGTCTCCTCCTCCTCCTCCTCCTCCTGCCCGTACTTTTCCTCCTGTCGAAACGACTGGCTCCCCGTGTCACTCTCCTCTTGGCTTGGCGTCAGGATCGGCTTCCCCTCCTCCTCCTCTTCCTCCCTCCTCCTCCTCCTCCTCTTCCTCCTCCTTCTCCCCTCCTCCTCTTCCTCCTCCTCTTCCTCCTCCTCCTCGTCCTCCTCCCTCCTCCCTCCTCCTCCTCCTCCTCCTCCTCCTCTCTCCTCCTCCACCTCCTCCTCCTCCTCCTCCTCCTCCTCCTCATCCTCCTCCTCCTCCTCCTCCTCCTCCCCCCTCCTCCTCCTCCTCCTCCTACCTCGCTCCTCCATCCTCCTCCGTCCTCTCCTCCTCCTTCCTCCTCCTCCTCCTCCTCCTCCTCCTCCTTCTCCTCCTCCTCCTCTTCCCTCCTCCTCCTCCTCCTCCTCCTCATCCTCCTCGCTCATCCTCTTCCTCCTCCTCCTCCTTCTCCTCCTCCTCCTCCTCCTCCTCCTCCTCCTCCTCAAGGATCTCCAGGAACATGGCCGCCGTCGTCTCGGCTGGCCTCCCTGCGAGAAGTCCAACCTGCTCAGCAGGTGCTCCACGGACACGATCTCCTGGGGAGGCGAAACAAAACAACGCCCCCAATCCCGACCCTCCTCCTGTTCCTCCTCCTCCCCC